TCCGAAAGTTATCGGCGCTCAATCTTATCTGAAATAAAATTTAATTCAAATGAATATATAATATATTGTATTATTTGAAACATGTAACTTTGTGACCGTAATAAATTGACGTTCTCCTTTGTATATATTAAAAGTTTCCCCTACAAACTTGATTTCTAAAATTTCTCTAAGATTTTTTAGTACTAAGTCTTCGTGGATTAGGGCTCGTCGTGTGACTCCGTATGAGAACGACGACGGACTCATAACTGATAGGTTGCAAGTAAACCCCGTAAATTCCATATATACAGAAAAATTTTGGAATCCATATTGACTTAGCAGGCATCGTTAAAGGAACTCTTTTAGATTTAGGTGACTCTATAGCCGGTATTCATAGTCGGATCTTATATTTAAAACAGATCTTAAATCAAAAATCTTAAAACATCTTAAATATAGTTTTATGATCCAATCAGATAGCCATATTAACATCTTAAGACATTACTTAAGATTATTAAAATAAGAATTTAATATTTTTAAAATAAGAACGAACTGAATACCGCCTTTGACTGAGTTCAGACATATAAGGACTAATGTAGTTCCCCGCCATTACTATTATTATTATTATTAGTACTACTACTACTATTACTACTACTACTACTATTACTACTACTACTATTACTACTACTACTATTACTACTACTACTATTACTACTACTACTATTACTACTACTACTACTACTACTACTACTACTACTACTACTACTACTACTACTACTACTACTACTATTATTATTATTATTACTACTACTATGATTGCAGAAATAAAAAAAATAATTAACTTTAATTTCTCATAATTCCGTTATAAACTACCGCAATAAAAAAAAATGGGTCTTATAAAATTGAAATTTTGTTTTATCGAATGATACAATTATTAAATATTTTAAAATATTTTTACAAACATTTTTTTGTAATAAAATTTATAGAACTTTATACAGTGAGTGCAAAAACTATTCATACAGAGGATTTTTTTAAAAAATCTTACTTTTTTAAAAAATAAACATTATCCGGCGAAAAAATAAACATTATTCTTATCGAATTGAAGATGCATCAATATCGATATGATAATTTTAACATCAATTCGACGTCTAATTGATAGTCATTTCTTGCTGGGTAAACAATTTATTCATAAAAAATAAAATAAATTGTATGCTTTTCAAAATTATATATACCAAAAAGATGTGCATTAATTGTAGAAAATATATCATTTTAAAAATAGTGAAAAAAAGTGAAAGTTAAAAATTATATTGTTTGGACGCTCAAAAAGTATTCGTCGTAAAGTCGAAAAATTTAGCTTTCTAAAATCAGGAATACACGCAAAACTTGTTTGTTTATATTATAACAGAATATATTCATTATATTAAAATTGCTAATTAATGCTTATTTTTTACAAATTTTTTTTTATAAAAAAATTTCCTTGTGCAAATATTTTTGTACTCACTGTATGTTATTCAGCATCATTAAGATTTTTCTAAAATGTCTATGTATCAAACTGGTTGTCAATTTAATTTATGATATTACTATATTTAATATCGGATTTTTATTTAAAGACTAAAAAATTAATTCGGCACGCAGTTTAAATGACTATATTAGTCAAATACTGATCTGCTCAACATAATGATTTACCGATCTAATACGATTCTTTCTGGAAATCGGCATGCATATTCTCGCACTGCCTCTAAAGTATTATCGCTGAAATCATACACGAAAGCAATAATATTTTACTTTGAAAACAATAATATTCCGAAAATCATGAGTTGTCTTTTATTGCGATTTTCTCTGAAAATGAAGCAAAAACGAGCACATCTTTAAAGAACTTTTTTTTTTTAATTTATTTCCTTCACTCTCCCGAAGTTTGGCCATTTAAATTCGGGACATCCGGCAAAATTCAAACCGAATTATTTAAGAATTTAAGATCCAGCTTAACCGTTAAAGGTATTTATTCCTTACTTATTGTGTAATCACATTATGATCCTAAGAAATCTTTAGTTTTTTTTACGAACTTTTGTTCCAACCATATATCCAAAATATATCGATGTATCAATATCACGAATCGAAGATTGAAAGTTTCGAAAATAGATATTTTATTACTGCGACAGCTTCGTTATGGCGCAAGGATTCTCCGTCTATATAACATTAGCAATAATAATTTAAACTGTCAGTACATATCTCGAAACATCAATCGATGAAAGAAATACTGCTCGCTTGCGTAGAATAACGACTTAAATACAGCTGTAAATACAGTAACTATAAATACAGATTGTTTATCGGTTTCCTGTATCGCTAAGGATTTACGAAGTTTGGCACTCTCTGTTAAGTTTTTACTTACTCGCTCTGCATGAATACATGCATTCGTTCAGTGCATCTCGTATTCCTCTCGCATTAGTTTATCTATTTACACTCACGTTCTCGAAACGCAAGACGTCAGGATACTTCTGGGAAAGGCTCCAAGACTGCGCTGTAGTCTCCCGCTACAATTTATTTACATCACCCGAGGAAAGTTAGTTTTTATGGCGAATTGTTTTTATGGCAAGAAATGTGTAATTGCAATGAACGCGATAAATGACGCGCGCCGATGGCGATCGGCATATTGACATATTGCGGACGATCGATCCTCATCGCAAACCATTTTCTAAGTTTTAAAAATCTTTAAAAAACTTTAAAAAACTACATTCCGTACAACTTTCTAAATAGCCATTGTGAGCGACTTTCCAGCTAATTATTAATTCCAGCTAATTATTAATTATTATAAATTAAAATAAAATTCATAAAGCACAAAAACAAACAATAAATTTTTAACAAAAAATTTCTCTCTCCGTATAGTTGTGAATCGATCAGTCAATCAAAAAATTATCCGTCTTGTTAAAGTTAGCATCGATCGTCCTCGATACGAGCGTCGTCGCTTTCCGCCGGAAACGCGTCCATTTAGCTCCGTCGTCTCCGGCAGACAGACAATACCTCCATTAGACGATTTCCGATAGACGCCTTCGATTTCTCCGTTGCTTCTTTCAAACCCGTTATAAGATAGTTTGGCCTGAGAAACGTCCTCGTCCTAATCGAAACGATATTTACGGATTTCCGCGATTGCTGATCTTTGGCAACATCGCGAAATTGAGATCCTAAGGAACTGTGTCGTGGTTCCGGTCGAAAGAAAAGAGAGAATAAAAAAGATACTCTTCGTCGACGAATAAACATGCGATATAGAGTCCATTTCATCAATATATCTTATGCACTCTCTATCATATTTTCTGTATTCGTATATAGTTTTGTGTATATCTCTTACAGAAACTCGATTTAATACTGGTTCAAATTACTACTGAAATTAAAAAAAGAAATCCTATATTCAAAGCAGGTTTTAGCTTAAATATTTCTATGTAAATTTTTATATACATATCTGATTCTATTCAATTACGTTTGAAGATCAAAAAAGATTTCAGCGCGCGATTTGCAGAAGATATGAATATAAATTCACATGGAAATATTTAAGCACTAAAATCCGCTTTAATCGAACATAGGATTTTTCTTATTTAATTAGAATTATTCTTACCGATTCAAATTCGTAATATAATTATTTATTATTGAAAATTACTTATTTTGAATATTAAAAATACTGAAAAATGCCTCCATTAATCGATTTCCAAGAAATATTCAAAATAAATAATTAATTACTTCCAATATTAAATTTCTGTATGCGATATGTATGAAATCATTGCATTTAATCGTAATTACGAAAGAATAGTATTGAGCAATACTTGAGATCCTATTCTTGTACCTCAAAACACACAAATATGATAGACATAGGTTTCAAAAATATTAATGAAAGAACTCTAGAACAATAAATTTACTCTGTCGATTCATCAGATATAAATTTGAAATAAAACTTAACAAGTTCTCTTCACGTTAAAAAGATTTTGTCTCTCTCTTTGGGATTTACTTTGGGATTAAATTAATTGTTGTCAACTATTCTCCAAAAAAACTCTAAAAAAAACTTAAACAACGGAACTTTCCAGTTTTATAAACATTTAAATGAAAATGCATGATGTAGAGAGTTACATAGTTGCTCTCTGTGCCAAAGATTCAAATCCAGATCCAGAACACTGTTAGAAATTTCGTAATGAATTTAAGTAACGGTTGTAGTAACTCTCTGTAAGCTTATGAAGTAAGCTTGTAGTTACATAGTAACTGTAAGCTTGTAGTTATGAAGTAACTGAAAAGTAATAAATGGTTTAATTGAAAACTAAGTTATAGTAGTATTAAATATAATGAACGTATACATTAAATTTCATACAAATTCACATAAAATTTGATAGAAAGTATATTACATTTCATATGTACAAAAGTCTATTTTTATATTAGGTGCGCAACTAAGTTCTCGCTGTTATTTTGATGCAAATGCCATGAAAATAACAGCGAGAACTTAGTTGCGCACCTAATACATATGTACAGAAATATATTTTTTAGATACAAATACGTTAAATTTAATGTAATGTAATTAAATTTAATGTAATATCATAAAGTTAAATTCAAGTTATGTAATTTAAAAGCAGGGAAGAAGAGTTACTTTTCCGTTATTTTTACAGTTATTTTTATAATAAGAATTTGATAATGATACTGCAATTTTTTATGATTGTAATGGTGACTAATTAAATGCTAAAGTTACGCTAAGGGTAGAAAAGTCATTTTGAAAAGTAAATTTACCATTACGCGTTACTTATTGAAAAAACAAGTAACACCGTAAAATTATTCCGTTATTAATTACATCAAAAAATTACAAGTTGCGAGTTATTTTATTCAGTAACGAATAACTTTTCCAACTCGTTGGAAAAGTACTTAACTAATAACTGTTCCAACTCTGGTGTTACATCATAAAAATTTCGCAACATTGTTACTAAATCGTTATAAAATAATAAGGTAATTAAGTAACTAAGTAACAACAATTATAGTAACTAATTATTTCCATTCCCTGCTTAAAAATACATTAAATTTCATAATATTTTTTTAACAGTGCATGTGTCAAATTTCATTTGGTCATCACTTCTCAGAAAGCAATGACAAACTATCGAGAGAGTATCTTTGCCTTCTTCCAATAAGCCATTTGAAACCGGCGTTAAAACTGTAAGTTCCGTGAATATGTGCAAAAAAGGTCATCATTCTGACAAGAAATAACAGACTTGAAAAGGAAAGAGAGAGGGAGAAAATACGAAGAGACAAAAATACACGAAAGCTTTGTTTGAATTAAAGTGGAATAATTTTCTACTCAAAATTCTTAGTGTCGATATTCGAAATGGCAAGTATAGTAATCGAACCTAGATCTTTTATTCGACAAGCAACTCAAATATTTTCGCATTCACGATGTCGCGCTTTCAGTTGCAATATGATGAGTACCGTACCGTCGCCGGTCGTTATCACGATTTCCGAATCTTCTGATTTTCCTTTTGTACATCGAACTCATACCCGAAGCTTCGACCGTAATTTGATGCGAAAAACGCCGTGCTATTACTATTGCATGGTAATTTACTCATTGCTATTAGCTTCCTGCGCATAACGTTAACACGATCATAGACATTTCGAAGAATTCAATTTTCCGATGCTCAACTCGATGACGAACTCGAACAAACCTAAGTCGATTAGTCAGTGTCCCGCTATTCTCTTCCAATGGATGACTTCATTGTATGACCTTCACCTTTTTCTCTCCTCGAAGTTTGTTCAAGACAATTTACTCGATCCTGGATCTTAATCCAGGCAGAGAACGTCTAGCTACGCTTCGGAACCGCTTGAACATTCCTCAGCTTCCGGATCGATGTGTTCTTCTTCATCCTCCTCCTCGTGATGATAGTCACCAGTCTCCTGCTGCCATTTGCTGACATGATGCGTGTTTTTGTTGCTATTGTTGTTAGCATTTCCGTTACCACCTCCACCACCGCCTCCGCCACCACCACCTCCACCACCCGATTGCTGTTGGGCTTTCGCCTCTTCTTCCTGTTGCATCCGCTTGTGTTTTGTCCGACGGTTCTGGAACCATACTTTCACCTGAAACATCAATGATATTGTTGCGAATAACTTTTCAGAAATCTAACGTGATTCTCTGTAACACATTTCAATAATAATCGTAGTAGATTAAGATATATACGCTTGAATTAAAATCCCTTCCAAAAAAGATGAATCAGAAAATAATTACCTCGAACAAAAAACAGTTATACAAAATTGTAAGTACGCAGAATAAGTGATTAAGATCACTTATGCTTTATTTCGTAAAAATCGTTACAAAAATGAATTATTTAAATATTATTTAAAGAATAGCAAAAAAGTTTGACCACACACAAACCTTTGTGGCTAAATATTTTTGTCCTGCAAAGTAGAAACATCCACTTTATATAAATCAGATCTAATGTCATAAAATAACATAAATAATTAAGTTCAAAAACTCGTGATTATTAAATGAGCTTGGATATTTCAAAATGCTTTGTTCATGATAGATAGAAGCCTATTGAGAGAAAGTGTAGTTAAGGATTTCTGATCGTTTCGGTGGAGGGAACGCGCCGCGGAAGATAATTCTCCGACGAACCCGATGGAGGCAAAGATACGCGACGTTCAACGAGAGGTAATTCGAGAGTGGTCGTCCCCAGCGAATACCGACGTATCCGCCAATCGATCTCAGCGGGCCAATCCCTCCGTCGAGAGACAGGGGGGCGAATCGAACCCCTCGTTCTCTTACCAGGTTTGCCAAATTAAGTGGCAACTAGTTATAAGCCCGGTCAACCCCCCGATGTATCAAGGAGCCACCCCTAAACGGGAGTATCCGGTTACAATGGTACGTGTCGCTCTGGAAGAAAAGGGGACGAAATGCGCGTAGAAGGGGGATCACGACAAACTCGATCGGGACATTGTCCTGGAATTGACTGTTAGATATACGCGCTGCTCGTGAGAAAAGGGTTGAATAGGGTCCATTTTGAAACTATCTACGCGGAAAATCAGCATTATGACACGAAAGAACACACACGCGCGATAAAGGGGTGGGTCGAGGGTTGAAACGAGGATGTTTGTCTAACGTCTCGGATGGCTGGGCGGTTTTGACAAGACCCGGATTAGCTTCCAACACGGTGAACTTCAGCAGTGAGATGAAACGAAGCGTATAATTTCACGGTTTCGAGGCCATTATGGAAAATTACAATATGAATGAGATAAATAGCATGAATTTATTATATTATTAAAAATTTCTTTCGTCATCAGTATATTGGATTCTTTTATAAATATTTTATTAAAGATACAATAAAGATACATGGAAAATATATTGTTTTTATATAGAAATTACTTAATTTATCTTAATTGCTAATTTTCTAAAATAATATATTATATAAGTTTTAGTAAGATTTTAATTAGCACAAGTGAACATAAATCAAAGTAATTAATTTCTTTATATTAAAAAAAAGAAAGTTGGCTAAGTTACTGTTACAATGAATCCTTGAATTGTTTTCGTGCCACGTTGAATATAAATGATTTAAATAACACCCCAAACCGAAATATTTCGCCTTTAAGCCAACATTAAATATCTCATCCCTCGGGACCATCTCAAGGTTGTTATTTACCACTGACCAATCGAGACGTGAAAAAGCAGGGACAAACTCGTTGCTGCGTGCCTGGGGGACCACATTGGGGGGTCGCAGCACTTAACGGGTGATTAAGAGGGCAAATAGAGAGAGCAACCCCTTTCGAACAGACCATACTTTTGGGCCTACCCTTTCTCCTCCCCTTCTCTTGAAAGTCACCCCGTTACGTCCCTAGACGTCGCCTCCAGGAGCGGCGTCGCGACGCTTAATCGGGTTACCCCCGTTTCGTAATCGCCTCCTGTCAACCCCCGGGGTTGCCATGGCGATCGCAGGCGGTCCTGAATCCCGATTGGCGGATCTGCACGCACGCGAAAACCCGGGCATCCCCTTCCGCACGCTGTATCCCCCAGGATGAGCCAGACGCTTCATCCCCGCCGCAAACCAACCCTCTCTCGCTCCCTTTTTATCAGTCTGTCCCTTTCTCTCCCCTTTTCTCTGCTCACACCAACGATACCTGGATTTACACTCAGTTTAACCGCTCCTCACCCCTTGCAACTGCAACCTCTGTCTTTCTCTTTCTCTGTGCTCTCCATCGACGCTAGTATTTCACGGATGCGCACGTTGTAAAAATCCTATAAAAGCTTCCAACACGTTCGACGATTTATACCCTGATATATTATCCCGCGGAGTTTAATGCACGACGGTAACACGCGATTGGGAATTCACCCCTGTCAGGCGTCGGGAATGAGCGAAGATCAACGAGAAAATGATCCGACGCCGATCGGTTGGATCCCTCGCACGATATCTCAAATCTCCGTCGAAAATCTCGTCTGTGAAACCTTAATTAGTCGTTAATGAATTAATGAAACTGTTCGAAATCGGACAAAGAACTTTACTCGCAATAACCGACGACTGTCTCGACCAAGATACGGAATTTTTTGTTTCCTGCAGAAATACTCTGGTAATTTAGTTCCAATCGGATCGCATTAAAGTACTTTCATCAAAGTACTTCTCTACTTCTCCCGCATATTTGATTCCTCAGTCATATTCGCCTGCTGATTGGCTACTTCTTCCGACCATCGTCTCGTCTCGTACTGCCAAGATTACACTTTATTCCCTCCACCGTGTACCAGGCTTTTATATTTCGTCCCTCTAAAGAGACCCGTGAACCGTCGGATGGACACACAGTGCGTATGTACGACTGTCACGGTTACGCGCTTCGCGTATAAGGTGTTCACCTGTCACTTAGGCGCGTTATTCCAGGAGCAGCTTCAATTACGTGCCTGGAAGGTAGGCAACGGCGAGATCGTGCTCGGCCTTTATCCTGTGTTTGCCGCGGCCAAGTAAGCGAGGAGCCAAGTTAACGCAGGTAAACGCGACCGAATGCGTACTCGTTATCTCACGAGACGGACACTTTTCTGCTCGTCTGCATCACGGAGATGCGCGTTCATCGAAAGGTTTCTAACGCGCGATGAAATTCCTCAGCAAAACGACGGCTTTGATTCTGGCTCGAAACTCGTAGACGTTGATCATTACTTTCGATACGATTGCCGTCTTATTTGCAAGTTTTTATTCCGATATTTCTTGATTTCAATATCATCGAACTTCTCTCCTCTGACTAATGTGATCCTCAACACATATTTTCGGAAAGATTAAATCTGTAGCATCCTCCATCAATTTTCAGTTTATTCGAAGATCTGGTTGTTTGTCTTGAACAGAAGAGGGGATTTCATAAGAGATATAACTTCGCCATCTTGTATAAGTTACAATTTTCTTCACTGTAGAGTCGTAAATGAATGAAATACCAGCCGAAGGGGGTTAACGGGAAATAATTCGCGCATCAAAGATAGAACTCAACAACAACTCTGCAAGGAGTATAGTCGGAATAGAATTCTGCAAATAGAATTTTCTAATTTTAACGCAGCAAATGTTGGAACAGCAATGCATCGTGAGTTCATTATGCATGTGCTGCCTATAACTGATCATGAATCGCCAAGATCGTTTACATCCAACGATAAATACACGCGCGCGCGCGCGCGCGTATTATATATATAATATATAATAAATAAATTAATAATAACATTACATCAATGTTATAATTTCTTATTCAA